TGCGAAAAAGATGGATTTGTTATGAAACTCTATCATCTCAAAACAAGGAAGATTTAAAGAACTTATATTACCTTCTGGATATGTATACCGATATGACAGATTATTTTATAGAAAATAAGTAGTGTTAGGAATTAACTATATAAGTAGGTTGTAAGAATTAATTGTATTATGTTTAAGATAAACAGTTCAAATAAAAAAAGCTATTATACTAACTGATGATATTGTATTAAATTGTGTTTTATATTTCGGTGGGCGGGAAAGGTAATTTGTGTGGGGTGATTTAGGTGTTGTTGTGCGTGGCTCATAATAAAATTATAATTTTTTTTATTTTATATACAATATTATAATAAAATAATTAAATAAATAATTTTTAAAAATTGTCCAAATATTTTATTCAACGCCAAATGTATGTTCTGTCATACTTAATACTAAAATATGAAAAAGATGAAATTAAAGGACACAGGTTTAAATGAACATATTTTTGAATGTAATTGAGATATTGGCTTGAAATTTTTTGTAAAGGGTCGAGAATTTCCATATCTAACTAAAAAATGATATTAAGGGATAAATATGGACTAAATTGTTGTAGCTATCTGCGATCCTATTAAAATTTTGATATAAATCATAGTTTTAGAAATTAAACAAATATGTAATATATGACAAAATCTTTATTTATGAACAAAACTCAATGAAATTTTCAACGCTTGTTAAATTTGTCATTTCAAATAAGAATATGCAAAAAAAAAATTGAAAAGGTCAAAGGGCATCCCGCAATTCCCAAAAATAGGAATGAAAATCCCAAAAATGGGATTTTTTACTTTTTTGCCCATAGGGTCCACATTTCTTTCAGGGCTGGGAAAATACTTTTGGAGTAAATAGAAAACATATTGAGGTTTCCAAAACTGCTTTCAGTTTTCTGATCCCAGCTTTGGGATTTTAGAACATGTCGCCCAAAGTTGAAGTTTTGATAAAAAATAGGTCATATTCGGAAGGACGCAGTGGCAACATTTTCAAAAAATAGGACAAGTTTTTTACGCCAAAGCGTTCTGCGTAAAGATACCTTTTAGAAAACTATAAAATTGTTATATGTTCTTAAAGAAAATTTTATTTTATTAATAAAAGAGTTAAGACACATTTTTGACAAAAAAACGCCAAAAATCTAAAATTTTTTGAATTTTTAAATTAAAAAACGTATATTTTTGGATCAGTAAATGATATTGATCTGAAATTTTTTGTATATTATTGGAAATTTTGTTGTCTAACTAACAAGAAAAAATTGAGTCCATTTGGTCCAAAATTACGCCCGGTATTCAAAAAAAGGCGGACCAAGGTATGGTAAATGAATGAATCGAAATTATCATTACCTGTATATTTTTACCTACATGATCATAAACGAAACAGAACGAAATGATCTTTCGAAAAAATTTAGGTAAAAAATAGTTATAAATTTCTGAAAATTTAAGCATAATAGGACCTTTCAACTATAAGGATAAGCAAACAAATAGAAAATAGGTAAATATAAGATTTAAACATGTTCTGTCATATTTAATACTAAAATATGAAAAATATGAAATTAAAGGATACAGGTTTAAATGAACATATTTTTGAATGTAATTGAGATATTGGCTTGAAATTTTTTGTAAAGGGTCGAGAATTTCCATATCTAACTAAAAAAGATATTAAGGGATAAATATGGACTAAATTGTTGTAGCTATCTGCGACCCTATTAAAATTTTGATATAAATCATATTTTTGAATGTAATTGAGATATTGGCTTGAAATTTTTTGTAAAGGGTCGAGAATTTCCATATCTAACTAAAAAATGATATTAAGAGATAAATATGGACTAAATAGTTGTAGCTATCTGCGACCCTATTAAAATGTTGATATAAATCATAGTTTTAGAAATTTAACAAATATGTAATATAAGACAAAATCTTTATTTATGAACAAAACTCAATGAAATTTTCAACGCTTGTTAAATTTGTCATTTCAAATGAAAATCCCAAAAATGGGATTTTTTACATTTTAGCCCATAGGGTCCACATTTCTTTCATGGCTGGGAAAATACTTTTGGAGTAAATAGAAAACATATTGAGGTTTCCAAAACTGCTTTCAGTTTTCTGATCCCAGCTTTGAGATTTTAGAACATGTCGCCCAAAGTTGAAGTTTTGATAAAAAATAGGTCATATTCGGAAGGACGCAGTGGCAACATTTTCAAAAAATAGGACAAGTTTTTTACGCCAAAGCGTTCTGCGTAAAGATACCTTTTAGAAAACTATAAAATTGTTATATGTTCTTAAAGAAAATTTTATTTTATTAATAAAAGAGTTAAGACACATTTTGGGCAAAAAAACTGCAAAAATCTAAAATTTTTTGAATTTTTAAATTAAAAAACGTATATTTTTGGATTTGTAAATGATATTGATCTGAAATTTTTTGTATATTATTGGAAATTTTGTTGTCTAACTAACAAGAAAAAATTGAGTCCATTTGGTCCAAAATTACGCCCGGTATTCAAAAAAAGGCGGACCAAGGTATGGTAAATTTTGTATCACTAAATTTTTAAATGCCTATAACTCGGATATTATAAGAGATAAGTAGTATGTCCAAGATCTCGTCGAGCGCTTTCAGAAAATAAAAAAATCTTTGTATTTGGATGAAAAACAAAAAAATGGCACGAGTTTAAAAATTTTACATGTCGTAGGTACCCTACTTTGAGCCGCCACAGCGCCGTCCCTGGGGCATCTGCAGGGTTCATCTTCAAAACTTAAACTCGAATACTCCTTGGCTACGCTCACGCCAAATTTTATTCCGATCGGATCAGCCGTTTAGAAATGCCAGATTTATTTCCAAAAAATTTCCATTCTGCCCCACTGTGGAGCAGAAAGGCACAAAACTGGGGGAAACGGGTAAAATTAGTGCTTTTTTATACAATGTAAATTTTTTATTCTTAAAGCTGGAGGTCCAGACTACGCGTCTTCGCGGCAAAGCATTTCGAGCTTTTCATACATTCTTTGCAACCTAAGCTTAAAATTGTTGCTTTATTTACAAAGAACAGCGTTTTTTTTTAAGTTTTTTATTTATATTTTCAGATTTTAAGAGCAAATTAACGTAAAATAAAGTAAATGTATACCATTTTACTGTAATTTTTGATAATTCGTCTTTGAAGTGCATTTTCCTGCATTTTGAAATTCAGAATGGTTTCTCTAAATTATTTATTATTATGGTGGAGGGCTATCGGTATTGGTACATTATTCAACTTTAGGAGCGGGAATCTTAGTAAAATTGGAGTAAGCTATAACAAATGAGCAATTCATTAGCGTTTTTAATAAAAATTTTTAAATAAATGCCGTAAAAATGGGTTTGGGAGAATTAATGCCTCAACAGATTTTTGACTTCAAACACACGACAAGGTTAAAAACATTATTGTAAAAAAAACACTGAAAAATTGGAATGACCTACTTAGAACATCGCCCTAAATCCAATAGATTAATTTTTGACCACAATTGATCAAACAATTCCGCTGAAATAGCGAACAAAAACGGATTTCTTTCAAGGGGAAGTGCAGGAATAAAAATGGTAAAAAAATTACAAAAATGGCTTTAGTAGAACCAGATATTCAAATCAGAACCAAAATAGATAAACAATTTTGATATACATAAAATTAAAATAATGATATATAAAATTTACACTTTATTTTGTCCGACAAAAAAGTGAATTTACTTTAATTTTAAATGTTATACAGAAAAATTTTCGGTGGAATAAATTTGTTTTATTGTTATTTTTGTAGCATTGTATATAAACTAAATGAATTTAAAAAAAAAATTCCATATTCAATAATCATTTAACAGATTTTTCGATGAAATAATGTAGCATATTGTATGTGTATGTGTATGTTGTTTAATTATCATTAAACATTTCGTCAATATGTGGCTGATATATGTATGTCGTCAGTAGAAACATATTTCAATTCCACATCGCCGCATTCCATGTCCTCTCACGTAAAATGGTATCTAATATCAATATGTTTTGTTCTGGAATGATAAACAGGGTTTTTCGTCAGTTGTTGCACTTAGATTATCGCCATACACAACCACAGGAACAGTTTATTCCATGTAACCAATTTCGTTCAAAAGCGCCTTAAGGTATACAGCTACCTTCACTGCGGTAGATACTCGGCTTCGGTACTACTCAATGCCACAGAATTTTGCTTCTTGGATACCGAGGAAAAAGCGAATCCGGCAAGATAAAATACAAAACCTGTATGAGACTTACGATCTGAAGTGTAGCCTCCCCAGTCGGCGTCTGCATAATCATTCAGTTGTATACCTGTTGACTTATATTCCAATTTCCTTTCAGTGCTAATCGTCAAATATAGAAATATATGCTTTATGCTTGTATAGTGCTCTACATGTGGATCTACACTGTGTTGTACCCGCTTAGTAACTGAATGTAGGATATCTGGTCTCGTCGCCAATGCGATCTACTCTAGGACAATCTTCGTTTAAACATTTGAGTTTAGCTCCTGTATCCAATGGGGTTGCTGCGGTTCTACAATCGGTCATACTATATTGAGCCAATAACTATTCTATATACTGGGATTGGTCAATAGAAATTGCCCCACATTTACCATCACGAGTTATTCTCATACCCAAAAATAACTTTAATTGGCCGGAATCAACTCAATTTCGAAGTAATTGTACTCTTAATCTCCATCCTTGGACTCACAACCTATAATCATATCATCAACATAAATAATAGTAATGCATAATTTACATTTTCTGTGCATAAAATATAGGCATGGTTCATGATCAGATTTCCTAAAACCAATATTTTTCAATAAAGAGTCTATCTTGGAATTCCACGCCCTTCCAGATTGTTTTAAACCATATATATATGTTGAGCTTCAAAACCAAATTCAATTTATCAATGTAGCCTTCAGGCTGCTTCATATAAACATCATCCAACATCTCACTGTTAAGATATGCTGTACATACGTCCATTTGATGAAGATACATTTTCATCTCTACAGCAATCGCCAATATCAAGGAATTGTACTCCTTGTTCATGGCATCATACCAATGTTTCGATTCACAGCTGTTCATCGCCTCGGATACAGTTTGTGGTACTAGTATTCCACCATAATCCTTCACCATAACATCCAAGACATTAAATACTTTTCTCGGTCGACCACGTTTACCAGTACGTAAAATTTTTGGTCTACCTGGACCTGCAGCACCAGTTTCATTATCACCTGAGAAATATTCCAAATCGTCTATATCATTAGCACTCTCATAGTCTTCGCTTTGGCATTCTGGACTTTCCTTCCGCATTAGACTCACTTTCTTCCGTTGTATATTCAGCTGAATTTTGATCACAGACACTCTCAGTAAAGTTGATCAAATCATATGAAACGATTTCATTCTCATTTGGCGCCTGGTTTTCTTCATTAAACAACTCGTCTCTTCTTTCGACCACGTCACGTTTACCTGGGTCGTACAGTCTATACGCCTTTGATGTTAACGAATAGCCTACCATACGACATTCTTGCCATGATGCGTCTTGTCAAGAGCCACTGCTTTACACCCAAATATTCTGAAATGCTTAACTGATGGCACTTTACCGCTCCAAACTTCATACGCCGTTACTTCTACTAAAGCTCTAGTCGGTGAACGATTACGAATATAGACGGCTGTTGCAATTTCCCCTGCTCATAGGAATTCGGTCATGTTTGAATGTATTAGCATACTTCTGGCCATCTCTACCAAAGTCCGGTTGAAACGTTCGGCCACACCGTTCTGTGCTGGACTGTATGGTGCAGTAAGTTGGCCTCTAGGAATGCATTAAATCTACCATTTATAAATTCACCATCATTGTTACTTTTAACCTTCTTTAGATTTCGACCAGTTTGTCGTTCTGCCATATTTTTAAATATAATAAATAAACGTTTTAAAATATCTTGAGCCAGAGATGGATTGTTTTTCAAAGGGACAACAAACATCCATATGTACCAAATCTAGTAGATTTTCTGCTCTATTATCCGATGCATGCCAATATGGCTGCGTACATATCTTTGTTTTCATACATTGAACACATTTTTCCGGATCTTTAAAATTTTCGCCATCCATACCAATAACAATCTTCTTTGCATTACTGAGAACATTTGCTGCATTCATATTCCAGTCTGTTCTGTAAATCGATTCGGTTTCAAACCCGAGAAACTTTTAAAACCGAATATGGTGTTCTGCAAATCGAATTTTTATTTGAACGTAAAATTCAGAAAAACATACATACATATTTTAAATGAAAAAGAGTTTAAAATGCCCATAGCATTTATATTAAGTTACAATTATATTAAAAAACGCAAAAAGCAATTATTTAATTTATTTTAATAAAATTAAAGTCGATTTACTTTCGACTAAATTTGTGTACTCGGTTTCAAAACGAGAAAAATTATGAGATTCGTTTTTAATCGAAAATTTTACTCGGATTCGGTTTACAAAACAGACAGGATTAAATTCAACAGAAAAACCTTTCCGTGTTATTCTATCTACAGATAGAAAATTACTCTTCATTGTCGGTACATAGAGAAAAACACTCAAAATAAATTCTGTGTCGTTGAAATTCAACTTAATTTCACCAATACCCTCAGCAACAATGTAGTTGTGGCCAGCCAATGGAATACTCTCCTTATGCAGCTCAAATTTAACAAAAACTGTTTTGTCGCAACCAGGGCTGCCAGATAAATTTGTAGAAATATCGGCAATTTTTTCCCAAAAAATCGGCATTTATCGGCACTTACGTTTTAAAAATCGGCAATAAATCGACAATTGAAAGAAACACTATTTTGTACCAAAGAAACATAACACAAATAAATTCAAAAATCACAATATTGTTTTTACATACATGCATAACTCAGGGAATTTTTATTCAGAATAGGTCTAATAAAAGAACTCTTTGTAAGGGTACACCGAAACTTTGGTTTACTGGAATAAAATCTATTAGAATTTGTATCACTTTTGCAGAAAAATGTAATGTAATTTTGGTTATGAGTGATGTAGGTAGTTATTTCATACATCACTTGACAGTGAGTGATAGTTATCAACAATATTAATTAATTTTTACAATAGGATTTGTAACCAATTGCCTAGAGCGTGTGTCTAATATGGAATTAGTTAATGGTTCTAATCCTAGTCAATATTAGAAGTTTTTTGAAAAAATATTGTTTTTTAAATTCCAAATTGCACGATCAAATAGAATAGACTAATAAACACAGAAAATTACTGCAAAGCCGATTTTAAATCCAGGAAAGTGGTGTTATCACATTTGTTATTGCTTATCGTCGAACAAAAATCGGATAGGTAAAGATTTTGCTGAGTACATTTTTATAATGGGAAATTTTCTCCAAATTTTTTAACATTTCCACAAAAATGTGTAAATTTATTTTCGAACCATAAAAAATTTCTTAAAAATTTTAGCACCCTTAGATCAGACTTTTAGAACCTATTCAGGATTTTCATACATAAATTGTGTTTCCTTTTCATAATCGATCCAATTGACATTGGTGATGGAGCAAATTGTGTTCTACCGTACTGTAAATTTTCCTTTCCCAATTGTTTTAAAAGCTCCATGTAATTTTTGCTTATGTAAAGTTATAATAAATTCGTTAATTTGTTCGATTGGGTAAAAAATCGGCATTTTTAAGCAAAAATCGGGAAATCGGCACTTTACTATTTTGAAGGTAAAATATCGGCAAAATGCCGATAAATCGGCAAATCTGGCAGGCCTGGTCGCAACACATGTGTGCGGTTGCGCCGCTGTCCAAAGCATGGGTGTGTGTCGATCATTTCATCTGTTGCTGCAAGCATCGTGAATGCGTAACTTTGTTCTGTTTTCTTTTCATCATTCTTCTTCGCTATACACTTTGGTGATACATGACCATGCATGCTACATTTAAAACAATTGCCATTGAATTTGTTCTAGTTTTTCTGCATGTTGTTGCCATTCTTTTTGTTGTTGCGTTTGTTGTCATGTGCATAAAATGCTAATGGATTTAGCATCTTCACGTCTACGTTATCTTTCTTCTAAGAGTTTTACTCTGAAAACTTTGAGTGGAGGTGAACTTCATCTCTCGCCTCCATAGCGATCACAAAGTTCTCGTAGGACTTTGGCTATATGAGTTCCTCTAACTCCCACTGGAGCATAGGGCGCCAATAACAGCCGACCGCCAACGGACCCGGTTATTTGCAATAGCTCTTAATTCATTTCAGGTTAAGCATAGGTTGTTCCTTTCGGATTCCGTGGAACGTCGCCATGTGTTACGTGGTCTGCCAGCTTGTCGACCTGACTGGTGAAATAGGTTCCATCTTAATGCATGCTTGGCCACGTTGTCATCATCCCTACACATAGTATGTCCAATCCACTGCCACTTGCGTTCACGTATGACTGCAGCTATGGGTTTTTGTGATAGTAGCTCTGAGTTTGAGATGGTTCTGGGCCAGAATATGCGGAGTATTCTTCTGATGCAACGGTTCACAAAAGTTTGTTTCGGCCTCACTGACACCTATGTTCTTTCGTTTTGACGGTGTTAATTTTAAGTCCCGTACATTTTATTGTTTCCTGAAGATCCGATGTAGTCCGGAACAAGAGAGTCGATAGTATACATCCACCTTTGACCATAAAATGTTCAGATAGTTTGTCCTTGTGTAGAACGTAGCATTGAGCATGTGCATAGCTTTCCTTAATTAGAGAAATAAGTTTCTCCGGTATTCCCCTTCTATATAGTGCTTATTAATACTGTCAAATGTCTTCTCGAAATCTATAAAAAGTAAATGAAGCTCGGAGTTAAATTCCACACACTGCTCAATAACTATACGTAGGGTATTAATGTGATCCGCAGCCGAATAACCACTGCGAAAGCCCGCTTGGCATGAACTGATGTTTTGTTCTAGGTGATCCCTTATCCGATTGAGGATGATTATTGATATTAGCTTTGCAATAGTTGGCAGGACACATATACCCCTCCACTTGCTACAATTCTTCAGGTCTCCTTTCTATCTTGACGATTATCCATCTTTCCATTCCTTAGGGAATGATTCGTTTTCCTAAGTTTCCATGATAAGAGACCGTAGGAGTGCAGTAGTGAGAGTTGGGTCGCACTTATAAATTTCGGCAGGGATACCATCTGTACCTGCTGCTTTACCATTTGGTGGTGTCTGATGGCTGCTGCAATTTCCGACAGACTTGGGGGAGCAGTTCTAATCATAGGGTTAGTAGTTATGACTGTGCTCGCAGGAACTGGGGGCCCAGGATCAACAGTAATGCTGTTCAGTATGGTGGAAAAATGTTCTTTCCATCTTTTCAGTTGTTCATGAGCGGTACTCAGTAAATTGCCGGTAAGGTCGCAAATAGGGTGTTCAGTAAGTATCTTCTGTACGTGTGTCTCCAGAGACAGCGGCTCTTTTCGCCTCCTCTGCAAGGCTACCAATGTGTCTATTTCTGTGGAGTGTCCGATATTCATTTTCCAGATTAAATTTCTCCTCCGCGTTCTGGGTGGCGTAGTATTTCACCTTAACTTCCTTCCGCACAGTAATTTTGCTCCAAGTATCCTCCGACATCCACACTTCTCTTCCTTTAGAGTCTAGTCCAATGGTCTTGTCCGCACATAATCTTATCGTGTCCCAAATATTTTTCCACTTAGCGTCAATAGAGGGAAATGCATTGTCTTCCATACGGGTCTGGGTCGCAGATTTCGCCTGTTCTCCTGGATTGCCGCGGTGCAGAGTCTAATTTTAGCCACTACCAAGTAATGATCCCGGGATTGGCCAATGTCAGCACCCCTCTTGCTACGGACATCAAGAAGGCATTTCCTAAAACGGTGGCTAATGGCACAGTGATCGATCTGATTTGTCGTCTGGTGTCTATCCGGTGATAGCCAAGTTGCCTTATGACAATTCTTATGTTGAAAGAGATTTCCACCGATTAAAAGTTTCCTGGCAACACAGAAGTCAATAAAACGATTACCATTGTCATTCCGGGCACCAAGTCCATGCCTACCCATTACCTGTTTCAATGGTTCATTATCGGAGCCAACATTTGCATTCAGGTCTCCCATTACAATCACAATCGTATGTTGCGTTCAGTTGACCATAGCATAAGTCTTTAATATTATCAGTAGCCCTGTCCGATAAGTCTGTCCGATACTGGTCTCCAGTCAATTAGGCTTTTACGTGATTTCATTGTAAGCATTATACCATCACCAGATTCGTGGGTGCCCCCTATAACCTTTCTGGAATATAGCATCACAGTTTCCGATGTGGAAGACGAATGTTCC